ATTAGCCAACAGAGCTTCATCATCAATCGTTACGCTTCCGCCGAAGAGACCTGAACCCTTTTTAGGGCTTTTCGTAGTCCTCCACGCTGCAGCAGCACGTATAGCCAAATCTTCATTGCGATGACGACAGCCAATAGCGAAGAGGGAGAGGGCATTCGTGAAAAGAAAGCCGCATAGCTTTCCAGTGACTAAATCGATGGTTTCCGTGAAATCATACTTCTTTGCTGATTCGAGGACACTGTCCAATAGCTCAAGACTTGGGGCGAAAGGGTCTTGCACAGGATAACAGTACCGCAGCAGGCAGTCGAGCGTCTTGCTGTCTTCCACCATCTTGACGACGGGGCGCTCTGTGGGGTCGCTACTTGCAGGCTGCGGGATGGAGAACATGGTTTCGAAGAATGAGGACGCCAACGAGAGAACAATTTTATGTGCGTGGAAGTCGACCTCGTCAGAGGTGCGAAGTATGACATCCGCGGAAGGTTTGTTAAAAGGCGATGACGCAGGCTGGATCTTCTGAAGCGCCTTAGGTTCAGAGCTCATTGCAAGTGTCGAGAAGACTAAGTCGGCACGTAATGATGAAATACGAATGGGAGTCGATACGAAGAAGGATGTAAGTCGTTGAGATGATCATAGTGATAAGCGCGTTTTTTTCCCTCTTACTAAGCCAAAATTGGTCAAAAAAGGCTAATTCTGCCTCGGTATCGGTCCTGTGAAAACCGGAGAAACTCAGGTCCTTGTTCAGCCAGCTTTTGCTTGCGAGGCAAAAGCTCTACTTAGTGTCACCCAGTGGGGGCCAACAAAGCGCCAAACTTGACAGTCGCTTTATTGCAGCGGCGCAAACAAAGCCTGAGCGAAACCGCCACTGCCAGCGGCATTGTGCCAGAATGCCCGCTGCAACTCACCTGCAAGATGAATAGCTGTACGCATACAAGATCCTGTCGACCTGCTTCGTATAACTGCCACGGAGCTGGTCTTCTCTCATTTAGCTGGCCGCAGGTTCCAAAAGCTTACCTTAGTATTGGGTAGCAATATTGCGGAAGATAGACTAGCAATGGTGACATACGAGGTGATGAATAGGGTGAGATGTACGTCCACTGCCTCCCTGCATGCACATCGTTGCTGAATCACGGGATGCGTACTATTCGAGCACATGCGGAGCGACCTCTACGCTACGCGTCAGCTCCGCATCATTGAGCATAAGCTTTGCCACAAGAAGGCGCAGCAGTAAGTACTCTGGCCACCTCAATATCGCACGATTGCAATTGTCCGACACCATGAGCTTCAGTTTTCCTGCTTGCACACGTTACAAATGCCACTGCTCCCTTTGAGCAGGGCATACTCTGGCGCAACCTTCAGCATCGATTTATGCTTCTGCGCTGGTCTCAACGCGACCCGCCTCGTTCACTTCTTCGGCGTTATTCTCTACGCCCCGGGTTTCGTCGTCGTCCCAACCATTCTGAAGCGTCCCCCCAATAGTACCCAACAGATCCGGCGATCTTCTGAACTGCACTGCCGACTGTCCTTGCTGTCGGTCAGTAATACTCACAGAATACTCCTGCGCTTCTGAATTGACCGCCCGTAGGTTGATTATGAAGCGATTGATGAGCACCGGTGACTACGTAGCCGGTTCATGAGCACCAAAAAGGAGAATGAGAGGGGAGTACACACCAGGGACGCAATGAATGTGGTCACGGGTGGTGCATCCTCAAGCACGACATCAGCCGTTGGCCCATGCGCTCATATCTGGAACGTACCGTAGAGGAGCGGTAAGTCAGCAGCGGGGTTATATTGCTCGCCAGCAGCACCCTATTTATCGCTTTCCGTGAGAATTTCCTCTGATGAACGGCTTTATTATCGCGCCTACATGAAATA